GACAGCTCCCAGACGTGCGAAGCGGCACTGGACAGAGTAGCACTGGCTGTCCGTCACTTCGGGCTTTGCTTCGCACCCTCGAAGTGCAAAGCGTTCCTCCAAGATTGGCTTGGACCGCCTCCTACGCTGACCCTTGGTGGGGATCAGCTAGAAGTCGTTCAAAAACTCAACTACCTGAGAAGTTGTATCAGCGCCCGTGGGATTGAAGGTGAGATCACGAATCGTATAGCAAAAGCTCGGGGCGCTTTTGTTAATCTTCGCCACTTATAGCACCGGCGCGACATCACTCTTGCCCTGAAGGGTAGAGTGTACAATGTAGCGGTACGTTCGACCTTACCGTACGGTTGTAAAAATTGGCCCCTTAAAGCAACTGACCTGAAGAAACTAGTTACGCTCGACCATCGGTGCCTTCGCAGTTTGGCTCATATCTGGTGGGAATACCGCGTGAGCAACGGGCGTGTTCGACGGCACAGGAAAAGGAAATGAACCTCTCAGCACCGTCATTTCACGCACCAGGCTCCGATTGCTCGGCCACGTGTTACGCATGCCAGCCCACCGACTCCCGTGACGTGCGTTGCTTGCGCACCGGAGATGTGGATGGAAGAAGAGGAGGGTTGGGCAAGCGATGACTGGGTCGAGAAGCATGAAGGCCCTCACTTCTGAGCTGGCCTCGGTTGGAGCGTCTTGGCTCCCTGGTTGTGGTCCGAAGGACGATGAAGAAGTTTGGTTGGACACACTTGCTGATATAGCTAAGAGCTGACCTCATTGGCGTTCGTGCTGTGAGTTTCTTTGTCCTACCTCATCCCTCTTAGCCTCCTCCTCCAACCACGATCTAATTAGTTAGCCTTATATAATTTTGCATAGCAATTTTTTTGATGCACAGTAGCTGACTGGTAGCCTATCGGGACAATGCCCATCCGTTACCGGTAGCTCAGCCGGCTTGCACCTGTTGCATTTTTTCTTCTATGTATTGCGGCACAGTAGGTGAGGTGTTTCCCACCTCTAGCTAACGTGTATGGTTATGATGAAGGTAAATATTAAACAGGGCAGGAGCTAAGACATCCTTGCTTCACACCAGAGTTTTCGAGGTTTGTTCACGTAGTTGCACCCTCGCCCGCATACCACTGTGCAGACATTCAATTAAACTTATAAACTTACTCGGACAAGGAAACGTACCCAACACCAGCCAAAGTGCTTCGCGGTTCACCGTGTCAACTGCATTGGTGAAGTCGACATACAGCGAGTACAATGGCCAGTGTTGCTCTCTTCATTTTTCCTGCAGCTGTGGAGCCGCGAACATCATGTTTATGGTGATACTGCGCAAATGGAATTCACATTGCTCTTCTGCCACGTTCCGTTCAACTACCTGTGACGAGGCGGTTGAGCATGATTCGGGCGATCACTTTACCAAGGCAGCTCACCAACTTGATGCCAATATAATTCGTGGTGCATTGCTTGCACCCTTTGCCCTGCACATTGGTAGCTCAAGGGCATCATTCAGCTCAGCCGGCGCTTTCCCTGCAATCCACACACGTTGCACCAAGTGGTGCGCGGGCCCGCCGCGCTTTAGGCGCTATCCCGTCGGCGCCTGCGCATTTGCCGTTTCGCGACTGAGCAAGTGTTCTCTGCGTCACATCCAGTGTCGGTGTGTTGGCAAGGCACAGCATCTCTTGCTTTTACAGCTCGTGCAACGTAGGCTAGTCCATCTCTGAACGGTTGTTCAAGAGACATTGGAGGTGCTTTCGCCAAATGTGCATTATTTCTGCAGTCTGTATGCAGGCAGTGCCTGAAGGAGCATCCACCATCGTCTTCAGCGATTTCATCGTGAGTTCATACACCTTCTTCAAGCAGTCAAAGGATTCTTCATGTGGGAGGCGTTCGGTGTAGCATTCCATCTGCTTCGCCTTCTCCGTCCACTATGCATTATTGACGCGACGGACCTGTCAAGTCTTTCGCCATCGGGGTGTGGAACTATGTTCTTCAGCATGATCGGCCACATGTGCAGCAAACGCTGTCTTCTTCTCAGACAGCAATGCGCCAATCGTCGCATTGTTTTCATCAAACCAATCTGGCCGTTTACAGTTTAAACGTACGATGGTTTCCTCGGCCGTAGCCGTCACCTGTTCACGGATGTGGTGCCACAGGTCGCCGACTGTTACGATGCGGTAGACATCACCAAGGCGGGTAGCCATACCTTATCCAACTCCATACTTTGCTCCACATTACGTAAGGAACGCACATAACATTTGCACCGTTCGCGGCAGGGGTGCTATACATAGATTTACGAAAATATATGTACAGTTTGGTCCGCACCAACTTGTGATCAGTGCCACACTCAGCTCCGCACAGTACACGTGTCATGCGCACTTCACACAACTCACGCTGGCGTATGATGACATAGTCGAGCAGATAAGTTAACCACTCTGTGGGTGCGTCCAAGTTGTTATATCACTCGCACACGGTTTAATCTGTGTGTTCGTGATCATCAGGTCGTGAGTGGCGCACGGTGAGAATGACCGGTCGCCGTTCCAGTTGGCTGTGCCAATACCATACGGACCGATTACGCCTATCCACACCGCAGCACCCCGTCCAACACGCGCTTTGTAAACAGCCAATAAAAAAGACGATCGCCCCTCAGCACGGACCGTATCACGGAGAATATCTGATTGTAAAACTTATCCATCGTCATCAGAATAACACATGTTGGGGATCTTACGTGCTAATAAAAGTGGCAGATTTACCTCTCCCAGCTCGCAGACGAAGAGTCATCAGTCGTTTGCTGATACCGGTCGGCTCTGCCAACTGCTGGCTATTTAGGCGGCCGTGTAGTACAAATCCGACCCATGTTCACGTGGTGTATTCGGCATTTCTTACCAAATAGTTTGTGTAACCAGCACCGGCTTCATGCAGCTTGCCTTCGTCAGCGAGCCGTCTCGCTGAGTGCGGCAAATTCGATCCCGTAGCGTGCGAGTTCCATTGCGACCAGCGCAGTGCGTCGCTCGGGTTGCTCACACGTGTGTCTGTCGAGTAGTGTGCGCATGTTCCGGCACCCGATGTTGAGTGTTTTGCGCGGAGTCATACGATTGCAGTGGCGTACAGTCGCTCGTATGATGAGCTGTCACGAGCGCAGTCTTACCGGCTTGCGATGGTCGTAGCACTGTTGACGCTGTCTGACGCGAGGTAGCACTTCTTGTGGGTTGTCTTTGGTCTTCTGAGTGCGTTGAAGATAGTAGATACGGATAAGTAGATCTCGTCCATGCTCAACCGCTGCTGCAGCTGCACCGTGTCCTCGGAATGCCCTTCCACGGTCTCGTCGACGTGGTGCAGGAAACCAGGAGTCACATTCTCCCTGTTGTTTCCATCACATTTGCGCTGAGTGTTCTCGCCTTCTCTCCTGTAAGCAATACTGATCTTCGTGCTGTGCTCTATTTGACATGGGCGCTTTCAGTAGCCTCGTGGGTGATTTTGCCGTCGATGAACATAGGTTTGGTGAATATCTCTTTTTGTGCCAATGACGTTCGCTTTTATCGCCGCAGTCTTGCAGATGCGTTCTCTTGTCATTCGTCGCTAGTTTTTGTCATTTCGTGCAGCTGCGGGGCAATGAAGGTATGCTTGACTTGCTTGATTCATGATAGCGTACACTGTTCCAATAATCGTGTAATTGCATATGTTCACGCACATGAAATACACTAAGGCCCATAGATCGACAGAGGGGATAGCTGCGTCACGGCCTTTGATTGAGATCAACGCTCCCCATGATGAAGAGGAGGGCTTGCGCAATCGCCCTCTACTTGCGCAGTTCCGTTACATTCGCGTAAGCACAATGTGGCCGGAACATCGTCTAGTCGCCTTACTCCCCTTTCCTTGATGGTAAACTTCAGCTGCAGACCTTGAAAGTTAAACTGGGTTTGGTGGAGTCATGATAGCTTACATTGTTGCACTAGTCACTTAGCTGTACAGATTCAGCCACACACAGAAAATACGTAAACACCCATAGAATGACTGGGGAAAATGGGTCGCTGCCTATCTGCTTCATCAGCTACATTCCCAGTGATTGAATTTACCAAGCTTTATTTTAATAGGAATCGAGGTCTACGTTGAGATTGCACATCGCAATCCATTCACACAACCAGTGCTTCACAATTACCCTCCAAAGCTAGGTGACATTTGTTTAAGTCATAATGGACTACGTGATTCGGGAGTCTGACTTTCCAATAGTCACGGAGATTAATGCGTACAGGCACAGGCGCATAAATTACGCGAACGCCGATGGGGAGACAGGGGAAATTTAGTCAGCACCTTCGATCGAGGTTCACGAACAAAAAAAATGTTTGCAGTGGCACCCGTTGTTTACACAGTTTGATTGCATTAACATGATACAATTCGTCTGAACAGCATCCAGTCGCCTTACCCCTTACTTCTTGCAAACATATTGCTGATTTTCTGCTGTGAATACAATGTGTCCGATTGGGTTTCCCAGATGTCCGATTTGTTTTGCAAAGCATCCCACTTGAGGTATATATATATATATATATATATATATATATATATATATATGATGTCATGCTGCAGCGCCATAACTTTTTTATCTATGGGGCTTTCGGCTCTTGTTCCCCATTTTCCTTGCAGAACCTAATCGTTTTGCTAATTCAGTTTCCAAATCAGATCGCCGCAGCAACCGGCACTATATGAGAACCACATCACACCAACTTCAGCAGTTAACCAACGCTTTTGGAACCACGTTAAATACCGCGTATAGGTTCTCTTCATGTCTGTGTATGTCTGATGTCCCTACTCAATCCCCAACAACCCTCGGAATCTTCGCGTTCGGGGAGCCCCCGGGTGCTCTTTCTAGGCGTCGTGTTGCATATGGTTCTCGTTTGTTCCAATTCATATAGTTACTGTCATCTGGATCCCTGGTTTTTATAGAGAATTTCACCTAGTTCCGATTGATATGATCATTACATTCTCCGGGAACTTGTTTCCTTTTTCCCTTCTAGGTACCGGGTTTCTGCAGATCCCCATTGGATTTGGACTCGGGTAACGAAGAACGTGGACCTCCACACGAAACTACCTCTGAGTTGTCAAAAGTTTCTACAGAGTGGCAACCATCCTCTGTATCTTCTGAGCCCTCGTCTCTAGTAAACCATCTGTCTCTTAATATGCTCAGCAAGCTTGTCGATCAGTGGCATGATACTTGCGCTCGAATCGAGGGATTGTTTTGTTTGGGACTATTGGTTCAGTTGCCTGCAACCGAACGTATGCCAGCGCAGATCACTCATGAGCAGCCAACCCTCAGCGGTTTTCCACTCTCATTGGGGCGAGCTCTGAAGCTCGGCAGAGGTGAGGACAGTGCGTGCATCTTATCGACAGTTCTGCATTACTACTCATCGGTGCTCTCTGTGTTCTCGAGCTCATATTTATCTTGAAGCGACGGGTTCATCCTTCTCCGTTATACTTCTACATAAAGCCTTTGCATAATGATTAGACCCAGGTCCACTAGACAGTGCCTCGCACTACAGAGAAGCATGTTATTATTATTATTGTTATTACAATGGTTGAGGCTTTCGATTGGCACCGCATGACAGGCCTCAAATAGGTTTTCAGGGAACATTCAACCGCACTTCGGGGGGTTACCCTCTCCTCACTTCCTTTCGGGTCCACCTTTTTAATTCAGGGCTGTAAGTCTGAACCGTAGGACACGATTCTTCTCTTGGTTTGGATAACCCTTGCATCTCGTTTTTCTGGGAGCGTAAAGCCCGCCTTTAGGCCATGCGTCAGACACGTGGCCGGTTTTCATAGGACGATATGGCAAATAAGGAATCGCTTCAAGCAGTCTCCTTTCAACTCATTTCTCTTGACATACATCAGTCATCCAGTCGTTGAAACAAAGCAGTGCGTTTGAATGCAATTATTTTATTATTTCACTAAATGAAGGTAGTGACTCGTTGTTGGATGGACTAGCCGCTCTATTCGATACTATTTGTGTGTAACTGCTTCCAGAATAACGTTGAAACACCAACCGAACTTAACCCAGGATGCCTCCTCAGAGCTTTAACCATCAGTGTGGTTGGCTAGATAGTAGCTTATCGATCAGAGGTAGGATGTGCAACTGCATCGCGACCAACGTTAGTGTTCGCATCAGGGAACTTGTCTGTGCGCATCGCCGATCTTTGGATACTGGTAACCTTTGCGGTAGATGAACATTTGATGTCTGCTCGAAAATACTGCACTTCATGACTGGTTTCTGACTTAGTAGACCTCATCAGGGCCATTGGAATGCTAGCTGTGACCTCTATTCCTAATCCAATGAACTGACCAATTGTTCACATTACTACGAATCACGCTCTGCGTTGAGATTGCGCGTCGCAATCTAATCACAACGTGTACTTCAAAATGACCCTCGAATGAATCACTAACCATTGTGCCAACCGTTGTCTGTCGTGACTCAGTAGTTAAAAGATTAGAAATTTCGCCTAGCATTTCAGTGGTCCTGGTTTAGAGTGCCTACTACCTGATGAGGTCAAATAAATTCCAGACCGGTCGTGATATGCAGTGTTTTCGGGCAGGCAGCACCCAATATCTATCCGATTCATCAGTTACGGTCCCATGGATCGAATTGACCAAGCTACACGCGAATAACGGTTCACATTAAGATTGTGTGTGGCAATCTATTCGCACAACGAGTGCTTCGTTGTCAGTTGCTTTAGTGTTTCGACGCCTCATCAGACATAACCTAGTCACACACTTGTTGGCGCTGTCCCTTAGCCACTTGGTTTCTATCGCTAACCTGTTCATTCAAAGACTAAGCTCCCCTTTCTCTACGGACATCTTTTTCCTCGGATGTTTGTTTGATTTCCCCTGCGCTTTGTTTTTCCTCTTTTTACCATTACTGCTAGTGGCAACAAGATCGTACCATTTCGCTGCCTGTACCGATTAATTAGATGAACTCCTTTCACATTCACTTTTGGGTTACTGTTAAAGTCTCCTGTACATGCACTTGGTCATCCATTTGTAAGTCACATCGGGTTCGCACCTTATCTTCTGCATATGACTTTTATTTGTTCTTCATCTACCATCATCCTGGGATACCAATATAAGAAATTCTGCTACATTCAATCGGATGTTGTTCCACGTTTTTGTAGCCTGTCTGAACGAGTTATTTGCTTCGTGGCTTATGCGATGGCAAGTCGGACCGGACCAGTTGGTCACTTTATACCAGAGCATGTGTACCCTGCCCTCCACTGATCCTCTGGAAGAACCCAACACGAATGACGTGCAATCCGAGATGACCCAACCGGTCTCAATTTCGCACGTCAGGCAAGGTACGTTTCTCAGTCCCGTTTGAGTTGCTATCATTTGCCTGAACAAAATGAAAATCCACGAGTTTTGCTTGTGATGGCACTCTCACTTTGTGGATAGAGTGTGATTGTCATATCATCATATCTGCCGGACTTAAGCCATTCCATGAATGCAGCAAGGATGTAAGAAAGGTAAGTTGTAAGGCGAGTTTATCTATTACCTGGATGATGGGACTGCGCTAAACGATTCGCAATTTACATTCTCTTATATTCCTATCTGGAATTATAAATGGGATCTTCAAATCTTTATTCCACATTTATGTTTATGTAATAATATATCCTTAGAGTAATGGTTGCTCCTGCCGTGTATTGCTTTTCTAGGTTTTTTTATTCACTACAGTCTTCGAGAATGTTACCATGTACTTCAGTGATCTTATCAATGGACTGCCGATTTTAGCACTGTTATATTCTCTTACGACGACACAAATACTCCAAAACATCAATAATTTTGACTCTTTTAATTGGTATCGTCCTCACTAGATTTAGAACAATTCTGCACTTGAAGTTTGTCCGCTTTTAGCTTAGCCGGACTTGCCCAGCTGCGTTCCAGGGTATTCTGAAATAGCTGAATTCGGCTATCTCTTGTACTCATAGCTGTCCATCTCGGTGGAACTGATGCGATTACCATTCCTATGTCTCGCGGGCGTCAATCTGGCTTCGTTGAAGTGTTTGTGTTCTTCTAATACCAACAAATCTTGGATTGTTTGCCTCATTGCATTTCAGCACTGTTACTTTTGGTCTACAAGCAATTGCCCTTCACGCTGGAGCTGGACTGTGTTATGGCCACTTTGTCATGGATGCACTATCAGCGCTGGTTAAACGAGCCCGAGGTGAGTCTACTGCTTAGCGTCCCCTTGAACGTATTCTCCAGAGCCAAAGCGAATCATAAACGTTTGCGTTACTGCACAGTTTTCAATTTATCTTTTCTTCTTTTCACTTAGGCGCTTCGCCATCTTCAGCAGTGTATTGCATTCCTCCGAAGTCTGAGCTCAGCGGGTGCAATAACTGCACAAGGACTAGCTACAATGATGTGGCGAGGCCGTCTGCTGTCTTGGTACGGTCAGTGTGCAGCGGCTGTGCGTACAACACGCACCGAGGTAATGGATTGTCGTTACGCTGTCTGTTTCTGATATCCCTTTTTCACTTGCTCTCTCGGCACCCATTTTTCGCGCTACCGGAAGTTCGAAGATACTGCTTGTACAAGATCAGCTACCCATACATATCACCAGAACAACAGAAGACTCTGTGATTCCCTTAAGTCATGATGAAGAACTAGGGCAACTTTAATCGTGCAACTGTTGTCTCAATTTCTGTACTTGTTTAGCGCTCATCAAGAGTGATAATTTTCGCTGAAATGTCAATCGCCTTCAGACTATTCTTCTGCATATGCCTATGAACCTGCAGGCGCTTTTTTGCTGTTTTCCTCGGGCTGTAGTTTCGGTTTGCCCACTATGTGTTTACCGATTTTTCTCTGCACGATTTTTGGGCAATTTAAATGCTACTAGCGTGTATTACTTTTACGTATTCAGCTTTTTTAAAATCACTACACTAGGGAACGCGAAACTTGCATATTATATGAGGTGCTCACGCAGGATCACGTGTTTAGAAACGAAAGTATCAACTTGCTGCTTTAAGCATGCTATCAACCAGATCCGGATTTCACTGCAGGGACTCGAACTCGAGTAGTAGACCTTGCTAACCTAACACCATAGCCACTGCATCACGGATCCACACTTATGTATCTCCGTAATTCTTCGTGTCAAAATTTCCTTGTTCCTTTTTCATACTTGACAACTCGACATAGGTTGTCACTTTATGCATAATCATTTACCTCTGTGACATTCCTCGGCGGTTTCTGTTTTTCAGTGTTGTCTGACGATGTGATTTTACACTCCGGAGCGTTCGTAGTGATGGCGTAAATGCCGAAAAATCACTGCACTGAGTAGATTCGTCGCAGCTACACTCAGCCAGACTGAGTTTGGCAGCGACGAATCTTCACAAAACAATAAATCCCCTTCTACTCTTTATAGACAAGAGATCTAGGATAATCCAAGCGAATTTCACTCATCGTGTGGAAATTAGAAGAGAGCGTACGTAGGTTCTTGCACGGCTTCGGGAGTCACGGTAGAAAGACTTCAGAATGAAAAGGAGTTTTCCAGACACTCCCTTCGCTGATTGGTAGTGTCACAACTTGGCTCCATCAACATGTGATGAAAAACCACCATGGTTGGTCGTTTGTGAGTGTTTTACCATTTGTCGAAGGGTAAATATGTGGTCGCTGCAACCACTACGAGGGCGAAAGCCGCCATTGCTTTCAGTGATTCGGCTTTCACGATTACGAGTAAGTCATCTCTTACAGTCACCAAGGCCATGCAGGGCCGATCTGATTGGCTGTTCGAGAAGCACCTGTCTGTTCCGATTGGCTGATCACGAGTCAAGATCGCAGGTGCGGCTTAATGGCCGCCAGACACGAGACAATTAACTGGTGCAGACCACCGATGTTTATATCTTCTTGCTGACGTTCTTGAACCTTCTCTGTTCCCTTCTATTCTTTACTTACCAATGGTAGTATTGATTGTCTGAGAACATTCTTTGGGTCAACCTTCGCGATTATCCTACTTGATTTCCGAAAAAACTGCGATTTGTTCACTGATTCATTCCTTAAGAGCTGCTCCTCCTAACACCAACCCGGTTTGAAGTTCACTGTTATGTGATTTCCGTCTGGAGTTGACCTGGAGCGGCGTACCAGGGACTTGGCAGTGATCCGTCCATCTACTGAGCCGACAATCAAATGCATGAAAGCTTGGTGGAGTGATAGGCTTATCTTGCTAAGTAGCTTCTGTCGTTGAGTTCGAACTCTCTCATAAGTATTTCAAAAGGCGTGGTTAGGGCATCTTCTCTTCTGCAAACTGACGTGTAACTGCTGAGTTGATTGATGTGGCGAACCCATCTGTCATCGCCTACGACCACTTCATAGTAGACATAGCCATGTCTTTTTGTAACTAATCCAGATGTTCAAGAGATTTTGTTGTTCCGATAATCATTTGGCAACACCTTCCAATTTCTAATTTTCGTGGGATAGTGCCATGTCTTCGATTGTGCTGATGCTCCATTATCCAATTTCTTTCTGAGTTGGGTCTATTCTGCAGCCCTATTAGGTCAAATTTCGTTCGACATCTTAGTAGAAGCGGTTCTGCTGGGAACTTTGCATCAGGCGTATGGGGACTAGGCCTAATCTTGTATGTTAGCCGAAAAATATGTAGGACCTCCTGATTTGGTCAGTCTCCTTTAGCTTTGAGTAGACATCTTGAACATATCCACAAATCTTTCAGCTTGCCTGTTGGACTGTGGATGATAAGGTGTGCGCACGTGCTCCATGCCGTGTACCTCACAAAATTCAGCAAAATGTCGGAATGTGAACTGAGAGCCAGTGTTTCCGGAAAACCGAACCGAACGAATACTTACCTAAGGATTGTGATCGTGGTCGGTGTTGAAGTGTTCGACATTTGGAAGATCTCGGACCACTTGCTGTATGCATCGTTAATAGGCAAGAAATTCCGTCCTTTGATTAGCCCTGTAAAATCAAAGTGAACCCTTATCCCATGGTTTCTTTGACCTCGGCCAGGAAAACAGTTCGCATTTCCGCGGTGATTTTGCTGCCAGAGCACACTTTGAACACCATAGTGTTAACTTCTCAAGTTGGGAATCCATAAATTGCCAGCACACTTAACTCCTCGCTAGAGCCTTCATCCTGTTGGAGCTGGGTTGTCCAATATAAAATTGATGTAGGACTTTGCATTGAAGTTCTGGTAGGATGACGAAGCCTTCACCAAATAGGAGACAGTCTTAGACAATGGATACTACATTTCCTCTGTGTTACAATTGTTGTAGATGTGCATCCGGAATTTTTCGTGACCATTTTAAGTGGTACGACATGGTCACCTCTGATAGCAACGCGTCTCGCAAAGTGGCGTCTCGTATCATGAAAGTTATTGGGAATTGGCTCATAGTATCCGAGCACACACAGTTGACTTCCGTTTGGATGGAGATATTGACAACCACAGTATCCTTTGGTTGGTGCTGTTTGTCCAGAAGTCTGGATAGGGCATCGGACTGACAGATGTCGCTTGTCGATCGGTGATTGTTATTGAAGTCATACCCCATCTGCACAAACGATTGGCGGTATACATTGAGATTCCTTTCTTCGAGCCGAATAAAGCAAGAGGCGGTCTGCTATCCTTAAGCTAAACTGGCGGTCATATAGCACCTCTTTGAAATACTTCACTGCAAACACGATAGCGAGTCTCATTCTATATTTGTATCTAATTGTTGCGATCAGCGAACGAGCGGTATGGGCTACTGGCTTCTCGGGCCCGTCAAGAAAAGTGTGCGAGGTGACTGCACTAACTCCATAGCTGGGTCCATCCGATGCTACGATTAGTGGAAGCTCTGGCTCCGTAGTGCGATAGCACCAGACCGCCAATTTTTCAGTACCTCCCGATTCCGCCGTTATACCGCTATACCTAATTTTCAGTACTTTGCCTACTACGTGAAAGAATGCGTCTCGAAGTTCCATATTTAACTTGTTTGCATGTAACTAACATTTTTCTATGCCATGTTGGTTTTTTCTCTTTGATTCTCCGCAGCCCAGGTACTGGGGACAGTTGCGTTCAGGGCCTCAGGTCTGGTAGGGTTATTATCGACTTGCTCTTGCCGAAAGCTTCCTAACATTCTGTGGTCCGCGTAGATCGTGTGTGGAGGGTAGGTAGGTACTGTACTAACTTACCATACCAAGGAAAGATCTTAACGTCGCTACGTCCTTAGATGTGGGCATGCACTTGATGAATCAGGTCGTCGTCCATTTTGCCCAATGCTAAAGCCAGGGTATTTAATGGTGGTCACGAAAAACACATTTTTTCCATTCTCAGGCGAAGTCCACACTCCTTTATCCTGTAAGGCACGTGTTCGGTTCTTTGGTGTAGTTCCTCCTGGTTAGATCCCATGATATTGACCTCGTCCAGATATGCAACGGCATATGGTATTCCCTGTAGCATCGTATCCATGATTTACTGAAAGATTGTCGAGGCTGACTTCACGCCAAATGGATGGCGTATGTACAGGAATACTCCTCTGTAAGTGATAACCGTTATTAACTCCCACTGCGAATTGCGCTCGACGGACGGCTTTTCTTGCTCTATTTGACAGGCCAGTTCGCATCGTTCATTGCTTTGTGCAGAGCAGACTTTTCGTGTTTATTTTCGTCAAATTCCGTTTCTTTTGCGATTCTGACTTTGGTTATTATGTATTAGTTTCGTGTCCGTATATTTTACTCCGGTATCTTTTGTCGTTCACTTTATCATCTTTACCGTCACATCTGTTAGGCTATCAGTAGTGACAAAGCCGACTTGTTGCAAAATAGACTTGTTGCAAAATAGTTGGGTATAGAGCCAATGCTGTTACATGTGTCATGTTGCCCTCCGGGAATCAAGAAGACTGGGTCGCGATTACGAAGTCGTCTATTAAGATTACGCTCGAATATTTATAGAGTATATACACTATTTACAACAGTCCGTTTCAATGGCTCATCCCTGTTATTTGCATTGTGTCGCTGGCTCCTTTTCCATTGGTTTGTGCTTGCTCGCCACGTTCACTCTGTCTAAAATCACCTTGACTTTCTTAGTGGATGTACCATTGACGGGATTGGGCCCGCGTGCTTCTTCCCTCCGTCCAATTACACAAGCCTTGGCTCAAGGGTGCACGAGTATGCCCTCCCTCGTCTGCTGGCGCCTGATTGGTCACTTGCACGTTCAGTGGATGATTGCAGGCTGGTGGCGACCACGGTCCAACTATTTCCTGATTAGCTGACCAATCTGCTTCCGGCAACATGCTCACTCCCTATCGGTCTGGCTTGTGACGTTCGATCGGCATTACAGCATTTCGTGCCCCCATCACGGTGTGAATTCCACATTTCGTTTATTGGAGCAATTTGCAAATCAGCACAATGCATTGCGCGAGCGTAATTCCCCCCTCACATGATCTATCTTATGCTGGCAGTGCTGAGACGTCACGCAGGCTCGGGCCTCTGACACAATTCGCTGCATGAAACACGTTATCCGCTCGGTATTGGAAAGTACATCCTGAAGCATCTCGGAATATTTCTGCCTCATAGCATGCTTCACATATGCTTTTATGATGCTCCAAATTGTGTTGAGTGCTAGAAAATATGGCGGAAGGTGCAGGAGGCCGCCCAAACGGTACGACTGCTCCTTGCATACGCGTTCCAGGGCGCGTTATCGCAGATCAGGAGGCAGTTTTCGACAAAAGTCGAACCCCTGGCATCCAACAGTCCACGCAACCACTGCGCACACCTTTCTTTGTTGTAACTTCCTTTCACGGTGGTATACTCTATCAAGCCAGCGGTTCTTAGGGCTTCAATAAGGTGAATGTTCCGTCCTTGAATGTTGGGCTTTTGACACAGCGCACGACTTGCACGCGGTGAACGGCCTCTGGTGCGAGCGCAAAAGAGGTCGCACTTTATTTCATCGATCAACACCGCTCGTCTCACTTCGACCTCCAACTACAGCAGTGCCTAGACATAGAATTGTCGGGAAGCGTCAGCAATGCACATTTTATCTGTCACTTGTAGTGCTCGAACCCGCAACGACTGTGACCAGTCTGTGGTTAAGACCACTGCGGTATGATTTCCGAACGGATGAAATTACCGTACAGTGCTTTTCCGGGCGTGAGATGGCTGTCTGAGTGAGTCTAGTTGCTATGAATTCCTACCTTAAATTCCCCTATTACTGTTCTGTAAACACAGGATTTTAGTCGCATCTTTTTCTTTTATGTGTTGGTGGATTTCGGAACTACGTGCAATTTCTTCATTGTTATCAGCCTCCCGTCCAAGTGTCGCGCTATAGTGCTAACGCTCACCTCAAGCATCAACACAGCTTTCAACCTTAGGTGGAGTGTTTGGAGAGTGACCGTGGGTTCCGACGATACTCATTCAAGCAGACAAACAATGTGACTTTCTGCCAGAGATTTCGTCGCCCCCACCATGCTTCGCTCTTTGTTCGGTTGATTCCATTCTTCGTAACCAACTGCGGCCGGTTTCCGTGTTGACGCTTAGTATACATGCAAGTTGCTCCCAGTTGTTTCCTTCTCCACAAATCTAGTATTCTGTCCCTGATCTCCGCTGAGTGACGTGTACGGGTGTTTTTTTGTGCCATTCTGAGTATAGCAAGTTGGAAGTTACTCAGTTGCCTTACATATATACGTGTTTGCGCAAGCTTTGTAATTTATGACCGCGCTGAACCGGCCAACTACCGCCGGATAACTCTTCTCCCAGTTCTTTCCAAGGTCATGTAATCCTCTATGACAGAGGCCATAATAAGATACTTGGAAAGAGGCAGTAGCATCGTACCGGAGTAACACGGTTTCCGCCGATACCACTCATGTACCACGAACATCTTATTACCCCCTGCCAGCTGGATGGAATCTGTCGATCCTGAGGAGGGATTTGACGCTGTGTACCCCGATTTCTTCAAAGCATTTGATCAACTTGATCACAACTTCCTCTTTCTCAAGCTTCAGAGCCGTGGGATCAGCGATCCCATCCTGTGTTGGATACGTGCATTCCTGCTTCGACGTCGCCTAAATGTGAGAGTCCGTAGCGCCTTCTGTGACCCCATAGAGATGTTATGTGGTGCTCCACAAGGCTCGGTTCTAGGACAAAAGCTTATCTTCATCCTTATTAATGGCCACGTGTAAGTGATGGATTCAAACGTTTTACTCTTCGCGGATGGTCACAGAAGCTAGCGGAGTATCTGGACGGTAAACGAATACATGACACTACAAGGTGATCTCGACAGGGCTCACGTTTGGTCAGTTCAGCACTTGCTTGAGTTCAACGCTGCCAAATTTCGAGTACTGGAATACGCCACTAAAGAACCTATGCTTACCGGCTGGGAGAACACTTTTCGCAGCGCGTCTTCCATGAAAATTATCTTGTAGTTGTTATGCAGACCAATCTGGGTTGCTCAAATCAGGCCGTAAAAGCAGCAAGAAAAGCCAAGGAGCACTTGGGTCTCTTGCGGAGAGCGTTTGGCCGGTTTGATCTCACCATCATTTTACAAATGCTCAACGCTTACGTAAAGTCACATGTTTAATACACCATCCAGGTCTGGCACCCCTAGCAAAAGCATGATCTTGCTGCCCTTGAGACTCCACAAAGTACAGCAACAACACATGTTATGGGCCAGACTTACCTCCCTTACCAGCATAGACTACAGACCCTAGGAATTTTCGGTGGTCAACACCATCGCCTGTGCGGTAAGCTTATTTTGGTAATTCAGATCCTAAAGGATCCAAACCACGCATGTTGGCACTAAAATTAAGTCACAACTCTTCACTTCAAGGCCATCACTTGAAGTTAGCTACACAGTACAGTCAGCTGGTATGCCGCCGGCATCTTTTCTCACTTCGTGTGTCCCAGTGGTGGAACGCTGTACCGATTTCTTTCATCTCCGCTTCTGCATTGATTGAATTCGAAACCCAACTTGATGAAACATGACCATGTTCTGTTTCTTAATTTCAACTGATTACCTCTACAAAGACTAAACAGGTCATGGCGTGCAGTATTGGGAGCAACGACTCTTCAGAGTATACTCAAAGACAGTGAGAACATGTGATCTTTGGACACATTCGCGTGGCAGCTCCCCACACTTTGATCTGCTCAATTGAGTTCGTACGCTGTGTCTTTCTGCCTAACTTTGAAAGAGGCCAATAATTGTTTCTTCGCTTAGGCAATAGTGACAAGGCGCCGTTGCATTCTCTCAGCTCTTCGGTATGGCCATTGCACTTTTTACTATACTTTCCTCGTAGCGTCTGATTGCGTCCCTTAACTCTATGCATCTCCTACAGTTATTTATTAGTATTAGACTATGGCGAATCATAACAGCTGGCTCCTACCTGCTTCGACAATGCACAATGGAATCCAACTGCAAACTCCGCAGAGTACATCGCGCTGTTCATATTCCGTACCACTTTACCTGTCCCCTCTGGTTGCCAATATGTGTGCTTCCCACTTGACTGCAATTGTTCAAGTGATTTCCTCCATTTCGACGACCTCATCGGTTCATTTACATTTCCTTTCAGTTTACTGCCTCCCCCTCCTCCTCCATGTCAACGGACAAGCTGAAATACGTTTCGGTTTTGCTAATGAATTTTATGAACGTCTACCTACACGTGAGTTCTCACTTTCTTCACTCCGTTCATGCTTCCGTTTTATCCGGACATTTCTCGCTTCTACCACGGTGTCGCTCACTGAAGATATTTAGACATGCATTTTCATTACTATGACACATTGGTTCGATACCATTTGGTTATTCGAATGTTAGATCACAAATTATAATTCGCTACTATTATAGTGTAGCAGGTTTTGCGGTAATCAAGGGCCTCAAACTAATTTTGTATTGTCATTGGAATTTTAAAATTTCATGCTATTTCTGGGTATCCCAACGCGCATTTACCGGCTTTTTCTGCACATCTCTATCCATAGTTAATCGTACTTTGCTTCTAGTATCTACCTGTTATTTGAACACAGCAGCGCTGTCCGTCCTACTACACGATTCTGTAGCGAAGTGACAGACTAATCAGATCGTCTCATCTCTTTTTACCTTATATATGACGCAACATAACACCGGTTGTGGGGAGGTCTACGAATTTCGCGTTGATCTCAGCTTCCTGCCAGGTGTCATGGTTGATGTCACCTCTTTCAGTGGTGTCACGGCACAGACTAATCAGTGGTATTTAACATCTGGGTCACTCGGTCAAGTACCCACCGACCATTCAGTAGAACCCTGTATAGTCTTAGATTGTTATTCGAGTTGGTTATTTCGGGTACAAACCTTTGGTCACCGAGCTTGGTAACTTCATCAGTGCGACTCTCAAGGAAGTGACTTACCGGTTCTCCTGGCGCTTTTATTTCCAATCAGTGGTCTAGATTTGTCTTCTGTGTTCCTCACTGATCGGATATGTGGATGGGATGCTGACCGATTAGTTGTTTTAGTCGTCCCGATGACCTGAAGCGAGTTGCTTATTCGACCCTCAACGCTTCGTGGGCAGCTTCTTTAACAAATGTTTATCAATTTAGCTTTCATCGCGAGTGCCATGCTTCGACGAATTTGCGCACTTTTCGTAGGTGAACGCTTGCAATCAAAATAGCCAGCTTGGAGAGCCACCCAACTCCTTTATCCGTATTCTGAGCTACAAGTATTCTTACTAACTGAACATATCTTCTTTGTGCGCTCCGTGGACCCTGGGGAACCGACGAAGATCGCAACGCCACTTTTATTGGACAGAAGTTGTGATCGGAGGACCAAAGCGGATGGCGGCAGAGAACACGCTTTGTTTTGCAGCCGATGCAGCATTACCACATAAGCGTAAATTCACTGTTCCGTTCCTCATTGGAAATAATGTATGCAGAATTATGCAACTGCTTCCGACAAGTTACCCGGTGCACGTGGACCACAGTTTTCGCTCACCAATTCACGTGCTTTATTTTTAAAGACGTTCCTCACTGCACATGAGGGATGCGCGGCGTCAATTCTCGGTTTGTATCATTCGGTTTTTTTCCACCTGCACGCATCACCTCATGATTCCTTTACTCCTATTCTATTTATCCACCTGCTCTACAAGGCGTGTCAAAAGGCGGAGGTGGTTCCTGTGCTTTCCGCTGAGAGAGCATGGTGCCAGTTGTCAACAAACGAATGCGCGATGCAACAAGAATTTGCTGAAATGAGTCTGGATCAGTGGTCGGCTTGTCCGATGGATGACGATCGCACCACACCGTCGTTGAATCGGGCTCTAGTCGCTGAGTTGGCCCTCCATCAGCCGACTCCGGATATTCGATCTGTGGCTTCATGGGAGCAAGCAACGATTGTCGTCTCCGCACTGAACGTTTTCAGACATGTTCGTTATCCCAGCGGGCGCCCGCGGTCGAATTTTTCGGACCGAAGCCATCCCACCCATCTGTATGGGCCTGAAGACTTTTTCTCCCCAAAAGTTGGTAACATTACTGTCGTACTTCGCTCTGTTGTGATTAATGCTTTTCAACGTCTGCGTTGTCAGCGTCTCGAGCGAACTCACATGGCGACTTATTTAACCATGTTGCGATGTACAACACAGTGATGTGTAACATTACCTTTCGCACTACAATCCAGTCGACCGCGGCCTGGAACACACTCACCGGAACTTTTGATTACGCGTCCACACTAGCTACCGTTAGATGATTATTAGATGATGTGCTTAGCTACCTATATTCTACCACAGGATAATTCAGGCATTCAGTTTTCAGAAGGCTCTGGTTTTACTACTCCATATTTATTGATACTTTGAAACACATCAGAGAATATAACCACGCGCGTATTAAGAGAGACTGCCAACTTCTGACCAGAAAGTTTCCTTTTCCCTCATGAAGACCCTCATCTTGACACCCAACGGAGCCTGTAGAGCCCATACGCCTTTACTCGTAGTAGATCATCCTCCAACACCTAATGTCGTGTCAGTGATCCATATGTTCGGCCAACTATGTTTTCGTTTCTGTGTTAAATCTTTCTGTGCCTGCCACGCGGCAGCGCTTTGTTGTGCGATAGCGGGTCATCACTCCCCAAGTTTTTCGCTGCGAACATTTATTTTTGAACATCTCAATGCATTCTTCTGTGCTCCACGACTACATTCTTTGGGATGCTGTTTAAAAATATATATCTTAACCATCTGTCACCCTAATAGTGAGGACTTTTCTAACGGATTTCCCTAAAATTGGATCTGTCGCCTACTCATTATGAAAGAAAGGCTCTAGGCCCAGGAACCTCCATTCACTTTGGGCATTCTTTCGACATACCCACTTCTGAATCGTCCGTCTAATATGAGTAATTCGAGAAAATAATTCACCCCACCCCCACATACTTGAATTTCAGGATGTCGCAGCCGTCACCACAAGCCTAAATCCCAATTGGATAAGCACTGACGCAGACGAAAGCTTGGACGGCCGTCGAAAATTTTTTATTACCTGGCTCACGGAATGCGCTGTATCATCTTATCACTCCACGATTTCCCCTCACTCAAATCATTCCAGCGGGCAGTCTAGCCCTGAACGCCATCGGAAGTTATCAGCCAACACGTGGCGGTATTGTGATCCACTGGACCTGTACACCCTATTCACCTCGGCTGCAATCACTCTAGCAAAGCATTGGGGTTTCCCTAAGGAAATGGCTGTTACTCAGCATGTGGTGGCTCTGTTCGAATCCGGCCTTGACGAACAAGCAGAGCTCGTAAGTTGGTATTGTTCACTTGGTTTTCCGTTATAACTCATGAAAAGGTTTTTGGTCAATTGGAATAGGATGCCCCGTAAAACCCACTGCATCGTACTCACGACAACAGAACCGGGCCTGCTTGAAAGCGTGGTTCACATTGAATCCAAACCGAACCCGCAAGAATTTGTGCCTCATGGAAGTTCGATGCGGTCATGCCTGGTTGTGTCACGCTCTCGTTGTTCTTATTACTTCTAGAATAGTTAGCCATCAGTTTCACTTATTTTCGACTTCCCAGTTAGCATAAACAATATACTCCATATCGCACTTAACATGAATCGTTTGACACACAATGGCATTTTGGTACCTGGCTACAGATTGCGTGTCATGCTGATGATACTCTTTACAGGATGCAACAGAACTCGATTGTGCATAGCCTGATCTTCCCAGACGTTGGCATTTTGGTTAGTGTACGCATTTGGGGGTGGGGGGAGATCAATGAACGCATCCAACCGCAAGTTCTACCATACGTTTTCTTCCAGTTGTTCCTATACGAGAACACAGACATCCCTCACTGTTATTGTTCAGCCCATATTTATCTGAGGAACGTACCAAGCTCGGTGAACAGGTCAACATCTCAACGCCCAACCTAACTCACCTGATACTTTAGTGGCAACGATCGATCGATTCTCAAATGTAAGTGACAATTCGCTTCTGGATCTGAGCAACGCGTAGATCACCGGAAAATTCGTCCAAGTTAGGCGAGAGATGGTCTGCGGTTCTCTCTAACAATTATAGGTAATAAATAATAGATCACGGCGCTCCCAAGACAATACCAAATAAAAATGGAGTAAGCTACAATTGAACACGACGGTAAACATTCGCAGCCAGAGCTTTACCATCCGTTAGTACATCGGCGCTATACAAACGGAGAGTGAACCTACACGAAGGCTATATCCGAGGGCGTACAATCACTGTGAGATTGAGGTTGACATATTAAATCATCGAAACAGCCAAATAGCAAATGGCTAGCATCATTAGAAATCAAGGAGTGAGAGGGATAACAAATCACATAAACTGTTTGTGGTTCTGGATTGGTGCATAAGTGTGTGAACAAGGTTGGTATGGGAAAGATGGAGAGGGGAAACAGATCTAACAGCAGTACGTCGTATCAACGTTTCGCTGCCACGCGATCACCACCAGTCGTGCATGGGCTGTGAGGCCGCCTGCACATGCGCAGATTTTAACCGGTGGCCTTCGGATTACAAAGTTGCCTATCTTTTCGGCTACCAGCCGATGAGGCTTGACGGTTAAAGTATGATAGGTGAGCAAAACGTGTTCTACATGTAAATACGTGCCCATTAACTGCGGTTGACAGGCTTGAAGCTCTAATTGGCTGTTTTTAAAGCTAAACAATCACACTCTAGTAACTGTACGGCACTACCTCTACTTGTGGTTTCATGTTTGGTTCGATTAATGACTCGTTCACTAGTTCTTCACTCTCATTTCTACTTTTTTCCGAAGTATCTGGGCCAGCTAACCGACTTGTCCGGCTTGGCCACTCATCTTCTCCTCATTCTTGGTCGTCGCGTGGCATGGCTAGCCTTTGCTTCCGAGTCACCGACATCCGAGCAGCTACGCTGGCGTGCCTGCATTCCGTTCGGACTGGAGTCCTGGCTTCGCGGCTTATTACCCGTAAGCCCGTCTACAATGTTTCAAGGTGTCTGATACATTTATTTGCCCCTAGCCTTGATAAAAAGAACGCGACCTGTCCAATCCAATTCAACCGAACCAGGGTCCCACACTGAAACGATTATTAGTGCTCATCGTCACATCCGAACAAGGTTATCTACGTTATTTAAGTTCATTCAATTCGACCACCCGGTCTATCTGTCTGACACGTTAGTCGGTAGTTTTGCCTCGTTCGTATGATCAGTACGAGGGGCGACTGGCTTCCACGATTGGTTCTAACTAGCAGCCGTCATCGCAGCATCTAAAAATACGCAGTTAAATGCTTACTGGTTGCATGTCAATCGCCGGGGAAAGTGCCACTGAAGGGGGGCACACAGCCACATCCATGGTTTCATCGACCAATTTTACCGCACTTGTACACCCGGCGCATTACTCTTGTTTATCCGGCATCTTTGACACTGTGACAAGATTAGTGAACGCTTCGCTATTATCATCTCTCATGGATTTGTATGGGATGAAGCACGAGAATTTCACCTTGGTCAAAACACCGCTGTTTGTTGTTGGTTTCATTTCTCGGCCCATTTGGAGTGAACTCGCCGTAGAAAAGGTCTACTTTCCAGTCTAACCCCTGAATAAATTATCCATCTCGAAGCCAAAAAGATGACGCTAATCGAATTAACTTGATAAAACCGAACAGCGTACGTAGAGGAAACATGGTGTAGTATGCGCAGGTATGAGTTTAAAGCCGCACAGATGAGATACTTTTGCTTTTTGCTGGGTAACATCATTTGAGCAAATCGAGCTGCAGGCGCTGTAGTCCGCCGTTGCTTCACTCTGTGCAAACGACACAAACGACGTTAGATTCTGCTTGCAGCTTGGATACTGTATGGTGGTATACGTAGATACAAAAGGTGGTATTTCTAATTTTTACATATCCTTTGTTGTCCTTCATAGGGCCCGACTGAAGAACTCCCATTCCAAGCCTCAATTGATAGATATCCGTCCTCCATAGACATAAACCATTTGGCCCACCTAGTCGAGTTCGCGCTGCAGCACATTCCAGCCCAAGCGAGTCAAGTTCGGATAGCTGAGGATTTGCGCGATGCAATATACGCCATGATCGACTGAACCAGACAGATTCCCTTCTTTCCGCCCAACTCCTTAAAATCATGTTGACCAATCCTTCTATTCTGCCAGTCCGTTATTTTTTGACTCATATGCGATATACCACTTGTTTCGCAAACAGTTGTTATTTTTCAATCTAAACAAACAGAAGGAATAATACAGGTACGCCAACTTGTATCGATTGGAAACAGACGTGCGCTTACGAGTCACGCTAGATGCTGCAGCAACGACTAAAGATAACGTCTTTAACTGATGATTGAGTCCTCGGCAAACCTTTTCGTGGGACACATAAATGGAAGCAGACACTTGGTGGCCGCTGGCGAATCCAGAAATGGATGCCATCATGCGATGTTTCTCAGCGGGGGATGGTGACAAGACCTGGTCCCTAATTAGCAGCCATGGTATTGTAGTGGGACGTTGTGAGAACTCCCCTCTGACCACCTCGTGGTCCCCGTCAACATCACCTTCTCATTGCTATCGATCTGCGCACCTCCAACACCTCACGAACTAATTGTCGGTTAGTGCTGATAAAAGCTATTTCTTGTGCCAACACTGGCTTCGGAGATGAAGTCATCTTTCCTATGCGGCCTGACAATTGCACAACAAAAAGAAAGTTGAATCTTTTCAATACATATTGCAATGAATTACAAGGCCGGAGTTCAGAGGTCAATCCCGAGTCATTCTCTTCGAACCGTATTGTATTGAATTGCGGTTAAACCAGTCACCAGTGAATCGCCTTGTTCCTTTGCCAGCGATGTCAGGGGCTCGGACTTAGGTATCGTATTCCGGTTTCATATCGCTACTATGTGGCGTCAGTGTGGACTTTTCCCTCAGTGTCTCTGATGCGTTCAGGCGATCCGGCTGATGATGGTCGTAATGTTGGTTGGCCGATGTATGAGAGTGCCTCAATCGTCCATCTTATTCAGCGATTGTCTCGCTCGCTAAGGCACTTTATGTGCCCGTGCGCTGGACGAGTTGGACCAATGCTTGGCTGCTCTCAATACTGTTTTTCATCTTTCAACCCGCTGCTGTCCACGCACGCTCCAGATCGAGCCCGAAATTCCTAATAAGACGCCACCTTGGAGTGTTACCGACAGGTATCAGCAGTGCGTTTTAACGACGCTTCGCTGCCACGGGAAAACCATCAAACGCTTGCGAATTTAGGGTACTGTTAAGTTCGAACCTATGACGTACGGATTACAGAGTGGACGTCCTATGTCAAGTGGTAGCCCGCCACCCAGCAAAGCCACTTTCTGTACTTAAGAAATCCATTCTGTCACCCAAAATCCGATAATAAGCGAGCAGGCTGTAAGACCACATGCGCATTGTAAGTAATTCTTTGTGGCGATCGGCATAGTAACGACAACTCAATTCGAGCTCGGGTTAAGCGTTTTCCTTTGCGGGTTGAGAGTGTAACTAAAGGGTAACTAATTTCTAATCCAGGTGGATTACTGTGACTGGGAGAATGAGCTCCATTTGTGCGCTCACTGGAGTATGATAGGCAGTTGCACCAGATCGGTGACTGACAGTGCTGTGGTTGGTTTAAGGTAATATCATCCTACAGTTCGGGATGTGCTGACGTTTCTACTACAGACTGTTCCGCTTATATGGAGTTCCGGTCCGCGCACAGTCGCTACCGTTAGTTCACGGATTATCGATCACTAAATGGGTGACGGCGTTCCCATCAACATTGGCAATCATGTTGCCCGTACTTTTAGCCATTTCAGGCAGAACTCCTCATGCAAAGCACATCGAGCCGATGCGTCCACGAATTAGTCGAAAACTTGGTGAAAATATCGCCACTGCTGTTGTAGTAGGCTAAGCACACCAGACGGCCAGCTAGTAGTGTTTTCTTTTACATTGCATGGCTGGTTGGAGAGATCATTTTAAACTAAACCCCGGCTGGCTGGCTGGCTACTTGCATTCAGAGCAGGGTGTACCTCGCGAAACGGAGTATAATGTTAGACATCCAGCTTGAGACCACATTGGTCATTTTGTTGTAACCACACAGTCTACTCGTCACAATCGTACATGCATTGCGCCCTCGATGTGCCCGCAAGGGGGGGATCAGCGCGCGGATCAGTATGTAATTTTGACTGTCAATGACGGTCCAAATATAGCGAGAAATAGGGGTACTGTCACGTCATGCTAACAACCTTTTCCACTCTCTTATGTCTCCAAATTGCGGGTTGATCACACTCAATTGATGATCAGGACAAAGTTCGCGAAACAGTGCCTTGCAAGTCGGTTTCGTATATTGTATTCGCATTTGGAGCGAAAACATTGCACCAGGCCGCCAGAGGTCAGGATGTGTGACAGATAATCTATTGCGTAGGCTTTGTCACAGTCTCTTTAGCGTGCACTTCGAACGCTCTAAGATACTGAACATATTCCGTTCATTCCAACACCGGCCTCAAATGCTCTCTGTTTCGCGAATTAATAATTCCCCAAGTGTTCGTGATGTCAATGATGTTTGCCTGATTTATCGCGAATAGCAGCCAGTTGACTTCTCTTCGTTCATACCTGTCTTCTAGCCGGTGGCACACCTTTTGTTTACCATAGATATGAAGTTGAGACGCATCGACGCAGTCCATACGCTTGTTCAAAAAGCATTTACTCCTCTAGCTGAACTTTCAGCGCATTGCAATGAACCCTAAGATTGGCCTGGATCGCCTCTTACGCTGGCCCTTGATGGGGATCAGCTAGAAGTCGTTCAAAAATTCAACTACCTTGCATGTTATATCAGCGCCCGTATAGCAAAAGCTCGAGGCGATTTTGCTATCCTTCGTCACTTATGGCGCCGGCGCGACATCACTCTTGCCCTGAGAGGTAGAGTGTACAATGCAGCGGTACATTCGACCTTATCGTACGGTTGTAAAACCTGGCCCCTTAGATCAACTGACATAACGAGGCTACTTGTTCGACCACCGGTGCCTTCGCAATTTATCGCACCTCTGGTGAGAACACCGCGTGAGCAACGAGCGTGTTCGACGCCTTGTTTACGGCACAGGAAAAGGAAATGAACCGCTCAGCACCGTTATTTCACCCACCAGGCTCCGATGGCCGGGCCACATGTTACGCATGCCAGCCCACCGACTCCCGTGATGTCCGTTGTTTGCGCGCCGGGGGTGTGGATGGAAGAAGAGGAGGGTTGGGCAAGCGATGACTTGGTCGAGAGAATTGAAGGCCCTCACTTCTGAGCTGGCCTCGGTTGGAGAGTCTGGGCTCCCTGGTTGGGCTCCGAAAGACGATGAACACGTTTGGCTGGATACACTTGTTGATATGGCTAGGAGCCGACCTCAGTGGCGTTCGTGCTGTGAGTTTCTTTGTCCCACCCCATCCCTCTTAGCTTCCCCCTCCAAGCACGATCTCAGTATCTAGCCTTATATAATTTTGCCTAGTAATTTTTTTGATGCGCAGTAGCCAGCTGGTAGCTTATCGGAACGATGTTCATCCGTTACTGGTAGCTCAGCCGGCTTGCACCAGTTGCATTTTTTCTTCTATGTATTGCGGCACAGTAGCTGTGGTGTTTCTCACCTCTAGCTAACGTGTATAATGCTGAAGAATGAACCCTAACCATTTTCCGACATAACTCAGCCAATTGGTATGTGAACGGAAATCGCTTTCGTGCCAAACAAACGCTGCGGTGGCTACTTAGTGCGAATCCGATCTTTGTGACAGTTGGGCCTCGTAATCAAGGTATTGGTGGTTATCGGATAACCTCTATTCTGTTAGCAATACAATGTTTTCGTCCCCATGTGGTGTGGATAGACGAGAGGCTGTCCGCACCGGAAACCACACCAAAATAGACTAGATTCCAAGTATTGGGTTGTCCCAAAACTAATTGAAATCTTTTCGGTGCCATTTCAGAATCTTTGGATGGCTCTCCAGGGTTTTTTAATTTAAATATGTAAGAGGAAACCCTGGAACGATAATCCTACATTGTCCTGTTATCCTACTCTTTAGCCTTGACTGCATTATTGACAAATGCTTAACATGCAGTTCCCGGTCGACGCTTGTTGAAACCCACATGACGTGCTGGCACGAGTGCTATAGGGTACGATATGGTGACATGTTGGATTCCATCTGTAAAGCAACGGAGATCTTGGGCGTAAACCAGCGGAGTTTGTCAGCACATCCAGCACGGTCTAGTGAAGGATCCTGGACAAAGTGTGCATGAAGTTAAGTCGCACTGTTATCTTCCAATAATCACCGTTCATCGCCATCTGCGCCAATCCGGAATAGTCCCATGGTTCGGACAAATTGTACCACACAAATCACTGATGAGCAGCTTTTGGACCGTCGTACTATCTCATGTTCGTTGCTCACCTGATGGCTGAACGATGTGGTTACTGGGACAAGTGGTGATGGCTCCATGTCAGCCATAGCGCCCATGGATCGCCGCAGATGAAACGTCAATACAAATCCCGAAAGACGAGCTGCATGGAAAAAAAATTGATGCTGGTGGGATCACCGCGGTGTCATTTATTGGGAACGGTGACTGCCGGTGTCCACTGTCAACAACCGAAAAATATGGCCGATGAACACCGAAGTGTCCAAAAGCGACTTGAATTCTCTTCCTGAAAGGCAGTGTACGTCCCCATTTGTCAAAAATGAGGCGTCTCAAGATTCAACAGCTCGTTAGCGAAATTCTTAAGAATGCAGTCCGGACCTTGTTCCTACAGACTACCATCTTTTCCGCTCGTTGCAAATCACATCACAAGTAATTCTGTGACAGAAACCACATCGGAACATATCTTGCCCAATACTTTCACAGCCATCCCAGATCGTTCTATAAGAGAGACATCGACCGCATGCCTGAGTATTGGCAGTACGTAGCCGATAACAATGAACGTTACATTGATTAACTATGCTTGATGTTGATGAAAAATATGTGCCAAAAATTTCACTTGATTTTGGTACGACCCAATACATTTCCGTGTTTTGGGATGTGCTGGTGACCAAACCACATATGTTGAACCCGCACAAAGTTATTGGCCCCACTTTGCTCGGGCACACGGACCATGTGACACGACAAGGAGGGTAACGAAAATTTGGTATCAAGTGCATTCGTTAGCTTTTGTCACTCCCATGATCTGCATCGCGCTCTCCGTTGGAAACGCACCTCATCGATTAATACCAGAGAGATTAATAGGACAGCCAAGTGCTCTTACGGAGTCGCGGTATCTGGTAGACTGGTTCTCATTGCGGTTAATTTTCGTTGCTGTTCGGTCGGTATCCATTATGGGGGATTGTGAGCGTACCTGGTGTTTTGGACATTTGACAAAATTTAACATTGCGCTGTTAGACAAGCAACAATCCAGTATTATATAATGCGGACCACACGCAGGTCAGGTGCTGATTTTTGCAGCATATGCATATCACTGACAAAAGTGTAGAGTCAGGTTTTCATCTCAACTAGGAAACACATCTTGGTAGGTGAAAATACATTCACGGGCGACCTAAAACACACGGTTGATGTACAATGCACATAGTGGAGTCAGAACATAAAAGAGTAGAAAAGACTTATTCACAGCTTGAACCCACGACGCAGCAACTGCCGAATGTCATCTTTGAAATCCGCAGTCGGGTGAAACGACGGATAGAAGTCGACGTACTTCGGCCACGGCGGCGCGAAACTGACACCAGATGTACTCATCCTTGCTCTGGAGGGTGCCAGCGAATGTCTCGATAAATGCCATATTGGAAAGCAAATTTGGAGGGTTTGTCTTCATAGAGGAAGAACAATGAACATTAATGTGTCACGGGTTGCATGCAAAAGCAGTGAGAAAACAGCCAGTACAAGAAGGAATAGTGTGCCTAGTAGAATTTCATCCCGATCCACATTCAACTACCAACGCAATGTCAAACATCTGATTCGATAGTCCTGAAATGCTGGTTCAGATTCCAACTGCGTGTTGCCAATTATATTACTCAAGTGTGTTCTCAAATTACGCCAAAGAACACCATTGCGATGTTGCGAGATGCACGTGTATCAGGACGGTGGTGGAGTATACGAGTCCACTGTAGGCGGGATGTATGCGTTTCTGATCATTCAGCGAGCCCCCGGTGTATGCTGATTAACATTCATCAACGGAACATACTCCTCATGTTAGTGAGGCTACTGTTAATGCAGTAAGCGAACCCCTGTCAGCAAATGGTGGCTACTTACATGTGCTCTTCTCCACTGTGCATCAGCCCTAAATGTTATTACGTGATTACAAACATGCCAGGTATCTTTAAATTTGATAATGTGACATCGGACTACTAATCGTTAATCCTATGCACAGGAGCGTTGTCAGCACTTAAACAGAACAGGTTCGCGTCTTCCCGCACTGAGTAGCATGCTGATGACACGGATCGTTCCAGGTACTATGGTCTATTCCGTTCGGGACAGGAGGTTGATAGCTCATCAAACATGGACGGATTGTCATACACTCGTATCGGCGGGAACAGATTCCGTTTGGAAACTTTTCTTTCAGTTGCTAGGATTATTCAAACTGGCAACTAACTCATCAGTTCATGGTGAGAATAGTACCGATGCCACTGACATGCTCCAAACCATACACCAATTGTTGTACGCGTGTTCATCGGTGTCGGTCTCGATCCTCATTCCATAGAGAACGTGAGTCAGTTTTTGAGCAATGACCAAGTAAAGGCAAGAAAGGAGTTGCAAGCAAGTTTATATGAGACAGCGTGTCAACGCGATCGAACTAGTTGGCGACCAATCACATCACTGCCGTGTTGCTGTCTTGGGGAACATACTCTTTAAAGCCGCAGGGTATTCCTCAACGGCTTCCGTCAGCAGCCAGAATTTGTCGTCAGCAGACTACGAAATTTCGACAGTTGCTAACCTCCTCACAGAAATACAGTCGGTGCAATAATTCTTCAATTGGGCTCACTGACTTTCGATACGCCATATGCATGCCAGACAGATTTTGCAATGATGCGGTTCCTAGGGCCAATTGTTCGCTTAAGCGGGGAGTTGGTACCGTACTCAGGTGCGTTTCGTAGATCTGCACTATTCAGTGTAGCCAGTTTAACGGTGATCATCTAATCCGAATGGGTAGTGTAGACACCGAATATAGGCTATCACATAGCTCGACATAGGATGCATTACGTAGTGAAAGCAACGGTAACTGTAAACTTCGGCTTCAATTCAGTGTTTGAGATGGGGATATGTGCTTCAGAAGACAGACTAGCAATCTGGCAGTACAGTTATGTACATTTTTCTATGTCCAACTGGTCTAAGTTTAGACAACATTGATCAACTGTGATGGACGCTTCAAATCGTAGTGCAGAGATGGACCTGAGGAACGAGCTCGACAGCTACTTAGGGGAAAATGTGATGAATTCGGTCATTAGATGCAGCAGGTATGGAGCAGGATAGAGATAAAAAATCTAAAGCTTAATAAGTCCCATAGGATGGTCATCGTTAAACTTCAAAATATAAAAAAATTGTTAGCAAAATTTGGTTTGCGCCGGTGAAATCACTGAGTTATACGTAGTATGAGTTGTAAATCCAAGGTAAATCTGTAAGGAATGATGGCAAATGGTAAGCTGGTGAAAATCGAGTCTCCTCCTGGTGTACACACACATGAGGTGAAAAAAGTGGAACGAAATCTGGGATTTGACCGCCAGTGAAATCGCTTACATACGCTTAGTAATGAGTCATGTGAGTTGGTGCAGCGAAATGAGTGCACGCTCAACTCCGGCTTTGAACCCTGCCAGCGTTGGAGCACATATGACAGATTCCGGTAGGGCATTCCACGTTCTGCAAACGCGTACGGAAACGAAATTACGACAGCATTCCAAACGACTGTGCTACTCTGCCAACTTTATGATGGTCTCTCAACTTACTGTTGTAACTGAGCTCTAGCAAGTAACGGCACGTGTTGTTGAGACCTCTCGAAACTTGGTAAGTCAAAATGAGGTCCCCGCGTAATCGCCGATACTGTCTGCTGAATACCCGAGCACTTGAAGCCTTCGTTCATAGAGCAAATTATACATTCCCTTGACATTCTTGATTGCCCGGTGTTGGGGTATCACTAAGGCGGTGAGATCTCTCCTCAGTCATAGCTGTCAGACTTTTATTGCGTATCCAGTATGTGGACATATGTATGAGCCCAGAAGCTGTGGAAAAATCGAAAGGTCAAATCGGCTGAATACACGCTTCAGAAGGCCCACGTGTTGGATGTCCCATCTTGACGCCGTTTCAACCTGATTCGAACATCCAAGGTCGACGAGGAACAAAACTCGCAGATCCTTCTCTCCAGAAGACGTTTGAAACTTCTGGTTGCCGATTTTGTAGGAGTACACCAACTTGTGCCGTAAGTGCACAAGTTGTCCACATTAAATCGAAGTATATTCTGCATTGACAATTCGTATACCCAATCCAGGTTGGCTTGTAGCACTATGATATAATCTGGTGTATTGATCGCACCAGCCTTTCTCCAGGGTCTGCTTAACTCCCATCTGAGTGGAATAATGGAATTATCACTCCAATATACAAAGGGGGTAAGCGTTCGGTTCCTGCCAACTACCGACCTGTTTTATCAAAAGTGATGGAATCGGTAACCGCAGATGAACCGACGCGATACTTTGAAAGCCTACAAATAATTTCTAATGCTCAACATGGTTTCAAACGCAGACGACCTAGCCTCACCAATCTGCTGCTTACTCGGGACTCATGGACCAGGACAGCTGATGAAGGAGTCCCCATAAATGTGATTTACTTCGACAGGGTCAATCACTTCCTTCTCCTCCAAAAAGCTTGTTGCCTATGGGATCAACGGGTCCCTCCGCACCTGGTTGGAAAACTACTTACACGACAGAGCAATCAGGGTAAGAGTAGCCGACACTCACTCTGAAAGCCTGTGCGTCTCCAGTGGTGTACCGCAGGGATCCATCCTCGGCCCGCTACTGTTTTTAGTCTACATTAATGACCTTCCAGCAGACATTCTATCCCCGATGCAAATATTTGCAGACAATGCTAAAATGTGGAGAGCAATTCGCTCAGCATCCGGCCGTGTCTGTCTTCAGGATGATCTGCCTAGGATTAACAAATGGGTAGAACCGAACCAGCTCCCACTGAACCTTGCAAAGTGCCACCCGCTGACGGTGGGCAGCAGCTTCGTCAACACATATCTTTTGGGGCAACACGTGACTAGTGAAGGCGACTTAGGCATACTCGTGCAAGAGAGCCTTGGCAATTCGCCCCACTATTCGAAAGCAGCAAGTGTGGCGAACTTGAACTTGAGGTGAGCTCTCGGCACCTTTGAGCGACGGCTAGTACCAATGCTGATTAACTCCTATATTCGTCCTCACGTTGAATATGCAATTCAGGCGTGGTGTCCATGGTTAAAACGAGACATTCGCCTATTGGAACAACCCCAAATAAGAGCCACAAAGGCAACGCGTGGGCTATCTGGTCTAAGTTACGAACTGCCTCTTGGTGTACTCGGTGTGTTCCCCTCAGAATACCGACGGCTTCGCGAAGATCTTATTCTCACATACCGGATACTAACTTAAAGCGAGCATCCATGTACATCACTGTTGACCCTAGCCCCTTACAAGCAATGCCGAGGCAACCACCTGAAACTAATGATGCAGTTGTAGAAAGTAGAATCTGCTCTCACTGGAATGAATTACCAAGGTATGTGGTCAACGCACCAGACATGACAACATTCGAAAGACTCTTAGACTTTCATCTTAGTAATAAAGGGTACACAAGAGTTTGATAAAATGCAATGGTTTAAACACTGATAGTTCACGTTTCACGTTGGAACATTTTGATTTTATTTTTCTGCGTATTCATCCTGTGGATCTTGTAAAGTTATGCTTTTTATCCTATCATACACTATTGATGTCCTCGACATAAAGCAAGCAGTTCGTGCTTATGAGGCGTGTGATATCATTAATACACGTCAAAAATAACCGCGGTTCTAGCACCGATTTCTGTGGTGCTCCGCAATCAACTTGGTTAGGGTCTGATAGGGATTCACGCACTTATACTTTCAAGCGCCGGTGAAGAAAAAAGCTTTTGATCCATCCTAGGAGAGGATCTGGAGTTTGAAGAGCAGAATGCCATGAACTAACCAGTCGAACGTCCTTGAGAAGTTGTGAAAGACTGCACCAAATCCTGTGCCAGAATCTACTGCTTCAATCCAGCTGGATCGTGTGAGCAGTAGATTTGTAGTGCACGATCGATTTCTTCGGAAGCCATGCTGTTTCGGTGCGGGGTAGTTAAATTCTCTCAATTTGGCCGTTAGTGTATCAGAAAGAATAGCTTCCATGACCTTTGAAAGAATTGGTAGTAAGATTATGGGATCGTAGTTGGCTGGATTGGAACGACTACCTCCCTTGTGAATAGGAGTAATCGTCCCGTGTTTCTACATGTCGGGCACGTACATTTCGTTAAAACAGTGTCGAAAGAATCGAGCCAAAGGCTCAGCTAAACTCTCTTTTATCGCCGCTAGCGACTTCGTGTGTATATTATGAAATCCAGGAGAACTGTGCTTACTCAACAGCTTTTTTAATACAGCTTCTGCCGTGAAGAAGGGTTATTTGGCCAGTGACTGCACCGACATATTGCGGCACATTGTAGGCGCAGGGTATTCGCTGCCTCCTTCCGTGTCCTTGCGTGTCCGTCTGCTGTTTGAAGAAGAGGAGTTCCCCGTTTCACCTTACGTAGACTGTTGACGTGTTGATACAGAAGCTTGAGATTTGAGGTCATACGCACTGCCAGTTTCTGCTGGTACGCCATTCTATCCTCGCGAACAAGCTGAGTACAGTGGTTAAGTTGGGTCGCATAGGACATCCTGGTCTCGGTGATTGCATAGAGTTTGTAGAGATGCCAAATTGAGTTTCGCACCGCTATACACTTGTGTGTCCTACTTCGCATAAACGAGACCATGTTCCTATGGCTCATGTTTCCGAAACGAGAGAGTTGTACTGGCTGACGAAATATTCCCATGCACTAGCTGTTGCCTTGTCTGCCAGAAAGGTCCAGTTGGCTGTCTCACCTAGTCGGACTAAAATGTCGTAGCGTGTAATCGCTTGTGTTGCGTCGGCAATTTCCGCAGGATATTCTGCATAGCAAATGTATTCGAAGTGTAGGACTACATGCTCGCTGCGGCCCAAGGGGACGTCGATGATCACCCTCTCGACCATCTGTTCGTCGTTGGTGAATCTCCGATCCGGTATTGACGGAATCGGGTGGCAGTGTTCATGTGGCCATATAGCTGGAGACAATTGTAGATTGGCCTTAAACTATTCTGCAGGAGCTACTTGGGGTTCCAGAGCGTGGATTTCGAAATCGCCGGTAATGAGAATGTGACTGTAAGTTGTGTTTATCACCTGCCTTAGTGCGGATGCCAGATGGGAGTATATCTCGGACGTTTAGGAAGGAGGGCGGTAAATGACAGCCACCAAGCAGATGTCGTCGCTTTTTGAACGTAGACAGCACCAAACGGAATATTGTACCTTGCTGACCGGATCCTCTATGAGCTCACATTGGAGGTCCTTGAGGAAGTACAGAGTCACCTCTCCACCTTTGCTGGGTCAGTCGTGCTGAACAACGAACATGTCCAGCAGTGCGATCTCTATGTCACTTGTGTCAGGGCGTAACCATGTCCGTTATAGCGATGAGGTCGCAGGCTTTTGGTCCTTGACGTAGCCGCACCTCGGAAAGTTTACTCAGTAAGTCTTGATCGTTAGTGTACATATAGAAAAGCTTCTCGGATGTCAAAAGCTGTTGACTAGGAGCATATGAATGATGTGGATTTGTGCCGCCCGATGAGAGACTGGCACCTTATCGTTTTTTTTGTTGAATTGCCAAATCTCGATATGAATGCAATCGGTTATTGGTCTCACTTGCACCTGCTGTATGTACTCTATCGATTTCTCGATAGCCAGCCGTTTTCGCTTTGCTGCGGTGAGCTCTCTATTACTTCTCTAAGTAATTCAAGGGAGAAACCTAATCGGCCCAAACACGTCAAAATTAACGTGGGCGGCAATTTTCGGTTCGGAAGTCAGGGTAAGCGAACATATGTTTTCGATAATTCATCTTCAGGCTTATATAATTATATGAAAATCAAAATGTGCAGACAGACATTACAAGTCGTTACTACTGGAGCGAGTTAATTGGATGCTGAGAGCGCTGTCTGTTAAGCCACGACAATCGACCGCATGTGACCTCGTGGGTCAGAGGTCATTGGCCGTTTGGGCCAGGGCAGTCCCAAGCCTTTAGTTAGCTTCTTCTGAACAGATAGCTCCGGTTCATACAGCCGGATCGCAATGGCTTCAGCGGCTTCTAGTAGTTGCTTGCGGACGTAGTTCGAGCGGTGCCTTGGGGCTTGATAGATAAGTTTGAACGAATCAGTGAACTTTGTGGCGTGCCCTGTATCGGCTAGGTGCGCGGCTATTGAAAAGTTCGCTGTATTTCCACTTCCAGTTCTAAGCCCGACCGGATGGTGTTCCTTCATTCTCTCAGATAGACGCCGTGTCGTACGACCAATGTATTCCGCTCCACAGGAGCCTGAAAACGAGTAGATACACGTTGAGTTGGTGTAGACAAGCCTCTTATCCCTTGAGTTTAGTCTCACCATCGGAATGCTAGTGAACTGGATTTGCATCTGCGTTGCTGGTTAGGAGCGTCTGAGTGCAAACGAAAGACGACGAGATAGAAGTTCCGTCGCAACCTCACCCTTTTGTGGCAGCTGTAGGAAGATTGGCTTACGCTCTACTGTCAAAACTACAGGCTTTTTCTTATGTTCCCTATTGGCTCCGATGAAGCTTTCCGGATAGTCGTTCTCCCTTAGCACAGCGAATGCACTCTACTTCTTCTGCAAGCGTGTCATTCGAGCAGATACGTTCAGCTCGGCTCACTAGGGTATTTATCAAGTTCCGTTTAAATCTAAGTGGCACAAAGCTGTAGAAGTTTGTGTACTGTCCATTCCATGTACTTTTCCTATAGACGCAGCGCTGTAGCGCACCCCCATCCAGTCTTTTCATGGCGACATCGAGGAAATGAAAGCGACTGTTTTCCTCAACTTCGTAGGTAAACTTTATTGCTGGATGGCCTTGGTTGAACGTGTTTGTTAGTTCTTCGAGACGACTGAAGCAAGAAAAAATGTCGTCCACGTAACGACAATATAAACCGAGACTTGAGATCGTTGGCTTTAGTTTTCCCTGCTCCAGCATGCCCATGAAGACGTTGGCGAGGAACTGACCCAGTGGTTCAAATGTGCTATCATTTTCGCTCACTTGTCTGCTGAATAAACCACTTATCCTTGAAAAACCGGATTTTGTGATAGTACTGCTCTTGTATATATGTTTAGCGGAGGCCTATCAAATGTTTCATACTGTGTCATGAGTTTTGTGATAATCACGACCGTCAGAATTTAGTTGTGCGTTGCAGCGGCACACTAACCGTCAAAATTGTGATTACTAGAATAAACTTAAACATCACAAGTGACCGCAAACGACCTAAGCGGATCACTCGTGCCCGATGGATACAAAACGTTTCGGTTGAATCACCTGAATGATCACGTAAACGAGTACCGGTAATATGACATCAGCTCCGGGATGTGCATCGGGTGAGACGAGACCAAGACATGCCAAAATCTGCTGCACCACGCGATCGAGGCATCTGATCATTTCCGATGGGAGCTAAGGACAAGAAAGAGAAGAATAACACCAAGAAGTCAGGACGGCGCTTCGACAAAACGACACAAGCAATGGGGGATTGTGTTTAGGTTGGATCATCTTGATTACACGAGAAATATGCATCATTAGTTTCACCGAAAGCTGTTACCACGGAAACCGTTCTCTGTGATGAGATGTAGGTAGTCGGACGAGCACTCCATTTGAAGGATGCCAGGTCCTTCAAGTTCAGCGTGAATATAACTAAAAGCACTACCGTATACTGCAAATTTCTGACCCCTTTTAGTTCAGAGGTCGGTGAATTTGATGGGAAACGTGTTCAAAAATACACCTATTGAAAGGTAATGCTGTCCGTAGGGAAACAATGTTTCTGATCTACATCAATGACATCACCTGTAAAACATGGTCAGCCATCTTTATTTGCTGACGAGATCAAGATCGTCTATAAGCTTCGGCGTGCGAGATTCACGGAACGCTACTGCTCATCCAAGATGACTTACATTCCCTTGAGACATGGTACCATACGTGGATGATGAACCTCTCGGCTAAGAAATCAAGCGTTATGTCTTACGACTGTTCCATCCCCGAAGCATCTGTCGCAATAAATAATGAACATGTCCCCGCACAGCTGTCCACGCGCAATCTCCGAATTAGGTACGCATCAATTTTCCGAATAGGCCCAATACCAATTAGTACATGCCCGACAATCTGTGGTCAATACATCCAACAAAATCCACACAACCAATGCTAGAGCGAAGCTTTTTAAGCTACTTACCCGACCCGTCCTCGAATACTGCAGCATAATATATGGTAATACGAGAAAGCGTGGCAGAATTGCTGTGGAACAGAAGTCGTTTACTAAGCATCTGCTTGGTAAACACTCTGCTATGAGTTATCGAGAACACTGCAATGAACTACAACTCCAATAGGTTTGGACTCGACGATTGAAGCACAACTTGTTGTTGCTTTTCAACGTGCTACACAAAAAGGCCTAATTCAATCTGTCTGCACTCGAACGACAACATAGCTCAACTCGAGAGCTTCGCAATAATAACTATACACTGAATATACCAAAGGCTGGAACGAATATTCGCTCTAATTTCTTCCTGATCAGATATAGCTATCTGTGAAACAAGCTACAAATCACACTCAGGTCACGTGATAATGTGGCAACATTTGGTAGCAAACTCTCCAATAACCTTGATCCAGATACCATAATCACTATATTAACATGTGAAAGATCTCTCGATGAGCTATTCTAAGAGGGGCCCAGCAACATCTAAACACCAATGTTTCCAAAACTAGGCTTTCGTCTCAACTATCCACTAGAACATAATTACTTGAATCGCATACCCCAATATTTCCACCTATGCATATCGCCCATGTAAGAGCTTGGGTACTTCTGCACAAATTGTCCTGTGCCGCTACAGACACAGCCTCTCGCATCAGAAGAAATAAGTCTTATCATAATTATTTGTGTGTTTCAATTATCCATCTAGTTGTTTGCCTGCATTTAATGTCGTGTGGATCAAATAATTCGATTTCATGCTGACTAGCACTCGATGAAGTTAATCTGAGGAGTTCAAACAAAGATGATTAAGTTTCCAGCTGATAGAAAACCCATCAGTTGATTCAGCTAGCAACCGCCCCTCCTAACAAAAGAGATTGCTAGCATTGAAGCAGTTGGATATGAACGACGGATGACGTATCCGAAAATCTTCGAGAAAACTCTTCACATTTGGGGTAGATCAATTAACCGTCACCCACCCGGAGGAGCTTCTGGTGTCAGTTTTATCCGTTTGGGAGTTACCACCGTCGTAGGATCAGAACCAGTGACCCTCTTCTCTTGAAGCAGCGACTCAAATAATTGGCTAACTGGCTGTCGCGATGCAGAGGAGTAAATGTTCCACTTCTAAGCTTGTTACCACAAATTAACAGGGCTGACCACCAGTCGTTGTAGCAGAGGGACAGAGCGGCTGTAAAGTTGTGAGCCACTTAGTGCGACCTTGGTAGAGGGTATGTGATTGCATAGCATGTCTACGAGCGGACGATTCACTACTGATGATTAAGTGAGGGGAATTTGACAGATGTCTGAAGTCTATCTTAGGCAGCAGCAGACGTGTGGCTGCATAGAAACAGAAGCAGGGTCTTTGGAGTATGACATGAACATCAGTTTTGTAAAGAGAAGTGAAGTGTGTTTACTTCAACAACTATGACAAACAGAGGTAGGAATGGCGCAACTTGGCTGAACGCTTAATACTTCGAAACAAGCCATTTTGGACAACAAAACTGCCAGTGTTGACCAATGTACGTATCGGCAAATGAGAACACTTTGAGTGACAAACAACTAAGGGTAAGCGGAGACGAAAAACATTGTGTGGAGCACCACAGTGAACCGGTTGGGATTCGCCAACGATGAGACGTATGGCTGCAATGCCACGGTAGCGATCCGGAACAAATGGTGAATTGTACCAGTCAAGTTGTGGCATCACAGACGCAACCAAATTGGGAAAATAGTTTGTGGCGGGTAAAAAAGCATGTACTTAACAGGTCCTCTAGGTTAGACAGTTACCGATCCATCCTCATGCTAAACCCTTTATGCCGTAGTGCTGAAGTTTGTGCAGCAGGTTCGGTGATCCAAGCGATCGAAAGCTTTCGGCTCCTATACCCTCTTCAGATGTTTCGCGTGCTATCATCACATTCGTGGCATATGACCAATGTTGACGAAACCCGTGCTGCTCCGGTGCAGTGATGTCATGATCCTGTGCGTCTGCGTTGATGACATGACTGGCGAGCACGGGAAGAAGCATTACCGCGCGGTAATTGGTAGGATCAGATCCATTTCCTTCCATGTGAATTGGGGTCATACTACTCAGTTTTCACTCTGACGGAACCATGTTGTCGTCTAGACAGTGGTGAATGAATCCGGCAAGTGGTTCTGCTAGGTGTACAGCTGCCAGTTACAGTGCTTTCGCGTAAATGGTATCCGTTCAAGGAGAGCTGTGTGTGCGCAAAGATAGCAATTCTTTTAGCAGTGAAAGTGACGATCGAAGCTGATGGTGGGGCACTAGAAACAGAAGACAGGTTCGAATTTACTACCACTTGTGAAGGGGATGAGTGCTTGGCCTGTATGGCGTTGGTCGCTTCTCTCGCAGCATGTGTTTACCCAGCCACCAACCGTAACGATTAGCGTAATTCCGCTCTGCACTTTACAAAGGTTATTATTACTGTGTCTGTAAGGTAGTTGGCGATTCGAACGGAATCGTTGGTGTGTCCTCTTATTTTCGCGAACCAACGACACGTAGTAGCTACGTTGAATTGCCTATTTGGTCCCATTCTGTTAGCTGGAAGAGCTCGTGCAATCTCGTCATGCGGATTCTCTTGGGGTCATATACTTAACTGTTCTGCTTTCGAAAAATACCTCGATTCGATAACGCAGTGGAAAGTTTTCGACGCTCGTGCGTTTGTGACTAGTGACGTGAAGGTTTTTAAGAATCTCTGAGGTGCACTCATTCGTGGAAGTCCATCTCGTTTCTTCAAGAAAGACGGATGCCGTGTCGTAGTGTGTAACGGAATGCATCCGCTCCAGTTCTGCATTGGAAAAATTTGCGTAGTTAATACAATCGAACAAAAGGTTAACATGATCGCTACGATATAATAAACTGCACATATCTAGTTCATCAACCATGAGCGCCTCGCTGGTGAGGACTAGGTCTAGCACCAATGGCTCAATCGCAATCCTTAACCTGGTAGGAACAGCGACGCGATTGTGTAGCTCAAGGATGTGCTTTGCGCAACCACAGGAGGTAAATATCGATGGATGCGCACCACTGACGCGCCCCGATAGGGCGAAACGCGCGTCTGGTGCTTTTCCGGATTGGTAGCTTACCTATGCGGCTTGGAATCTAATTGCGATGAACCAAATTGAATCATACCGAAATCCGTCTACTCATTCGTAATCAACTATATAAATCGTCAGCTGTACGCCGTAACGGCTCTTCGCTGCTGCGCGACAATCACCAGTCGCGTGTGGGTTGATTATACCGCGAGGACGCCGGCGCCTACGCGGATTCGAACCGGTGATGATTGCAAGCCAGGCGTGCATACCACTCGGCCACCGGCCGACGTGGTGAATATCCAGCTACAACACACAGCATGGACAGGGATAAGTAATAAAATGGAATTTTACAAGAGGATATGTATAAAATACGTTACTAGCGAAAGCTAACAGGGCTAATATTGCCGAAGCAATTTACCGACCAATTATTTATCGACTAAATTTTGATCACTAATGAGTAGTTTGCAATGATTCGGAATACCTGTATGATTTCGTCTTGTTCATCGAAATTAGATTACAAGCCGAAAAGGTGTGCTACCAATCCGGAAAGACCTTAGACGACCATTTCTCTCCATTCAGGCTGGGGATCGAACCCATGACCGCTGGTTGCTTGCACCACTCGCAACATATGCCACTGAGCCATGGTGAACGATGGTGGACCATCACGGGTTGAAATCCAACTGCGATTAAATCCTGTCCATCCTCCACTGCCATGCAGGTTACTACATGTGCAGAGTACAATGGTTTGCCGTCCGGTATCAGGACTTTGCTTGCCGTGAATTTACACAGCATTTTGATCATTAAAAACGTGACACCTAAAGGAACTGCTTGCAATGGTTTACAACTGGTAAAACAACACAGAAAGTCCTGTATGATGGTTAGGGTGAAAATTAAAGTTACAAACACAGTGCTGATAAAAGAACGCGCGAGTTACACAAATCATCAGGAGGTTTCCAGACATGAGTATTTCTGCTTGCAGTTTAAGGGGAGTCTGACACAGTCCACTGTTAGTTCCGCACGAATGCCGTGATTTGATGCTCACAGGCTATGTAACATAGCGTCATCAAGTCCTCTTTTGAATAGTACTAAAGTGGGAGCATCACTTAGATGCACCGAGAGGGAGTTCCATTGATGTGACAGTCGGAGGGAGAAAAAATTTCGTCGACAT